CAGTGTGCTATCCACAGTGTAGGCAGGACTCCTTGCTTTAACTACATGCCTGAACTATAGATTCTCTTGCATCATTACCAGTAGGGCTGTACTGCTCGCTAGATGTAGGTCCACATTTTGCCGGTATAAATTTAACTAAGGAAATGCAACAGAAAAGCTCTTATACACAGGTCGCATTTGGAAAGGAAGGACAATGTTCCCTTGAACAACGAGAAGGAAGCAATTACATTATTCAGTGCACTATTCAGTGAAGTTTCCATAACCTAACAGTAATAGTCACTGTGGCTTGATAAGGTTGCTACATCATGGCTGCCAAATGCAATGCACACCAATAGCACTGAATGCTATAATTAATAATAAATGTTATTTATTCATAGCAATAAAAACATTAAATAAACAGTTAATAACAACTGGATTGATATTTCATCCTATGGCAGAAAACATTTCAAGTTTTACTTTTCTATTTTTTTTTTTGTTATGTGACATAATCTTAGCATGTACGTGACCCTGTAGAAATTTACAAAAATAAGACATCCCTCTGATGTTACTTGCAGTCTGAAACCCGTTAGGTTAAAATGTGACCAAGTCTTTCATTGCACGGATGAAAATTTGCTTCACAGGATGCTGTTCAGAGCATGTAACATATAGAAGAACCAAAAAAACCCTACAAGTAAAAGGTGTCATCACATTCATATCAACTAATGAGGCTACTCATAAAACTAAAAGGGCTTAGTTCAGTGTTTTATTATTATTCACACAGTTACAGTTTCATAAGTCATAAATAATGGCAATGCAGAACTTGAATGGTGACATTTATCACGCAAGCAGGTCTATTCCTTTCTGCTTGCTCTTCAGATTTATTAAATAGATTTATCTAACAACAGTATCTATGCTTCTTTTTGTTCCCCCTCAATTTAAGCGTCGTGACATCCTGCATATTACTCTGATATACTTGTTAATCTCAGGTGTGTTGTGAGGGAGGAAGGCAATAAAAATCTATAGCTTCTCAGTCCACAAAAAGCGTGCCCGGTACTGCATTCATCCCACATAGGTCTTTATAAATAAGTAAAAATAGGGCTTTGTTGTTGTTCTTTTGTGTTTAATATTTTATGGTTTATGATTTTTCTCTCCCATCCCCATAGCTCATCAGTTCTGGATTTTTTCATGTTCTTTTGTGGAGTTTAAAACGTCTGGTAATGCCACTTTGTTTACATCAGGGACCACAATATTTAATGGCTGAAATCAAGTTTTATCAATAGATAGAAAGAGTTCAGGAAATCTGTAAAAGAGAAAAAAGTGAAAAATCAATGCTCTTTGGTTGAATTCTCCTTTCAGAAACCTTTTTCACTTGTGAAGTTTTGAAAAGATCATTAAAAACATTAACTTAGAAGCAAAATTTTAAACGAGGCAGGTTAAATTAAAAGACTTTCACTTGTGATCAGCCTTCCGCACTGCAATTAGACGCACATATTTATGAAATCTTTGTCGAGCTGGACTCTACGTTAGTTGTTTTCTATGCTCTCAAATCAGACCAGCTTTCACACTTTTGAGACAGCACCAAGTATTATATCCTGTTGTAGCCAAGTACAATTATTTCTCTCTGAAAAATCTCATTGTGAAAAACAGCTCAGAAAGACTGCATTCCTTATGTTTTATTATTTCATCCTATAGTTTGTTCCTTACTGCCACGTTTCACACAAGTTTGAAACTAGACATAACAATTATAACAACGCACTAAAAATATCTCTATTTTAGTTTCAAGATAGAACCAATTTGGTAACTAAAAAAAGGAAATAACAATAAGTGGGGAATACAACGCAAGATGTCTTTCCAAACGTCTTTTTGTTGGCACATGAAGTATTCTCTTCCTAGTATATAATAGATATCTGTCACACATTGCAGAGATGGGAAGAGCGCTATGCATCCATCCCAAATTCCAGGAACAGAACAAATTGGACTTGCCAGGGAATGCCATGCATGTATTTGCTCGCTAAGAAAGGCGAATGCTTATGGCTTCCTTTCATTCCTACTGAGAGCCAGATGGTCTCATCTTGTAACTTTTATTCATGTAGTTTAGTATTTCCTTCCCATGGTAAAAGATGACTCCAAACGCAGGGCAAATTGCAGTATTATTACCACAGTGAAAACAGAAGTACTGTTTACGGTTCTAAGGACAGAAATGACAGCTTGAGTGGTAGATAAAATATTAATTTAGCACTTTTTCAGTAATAGCAATTCTGATCTCAGAAAAATAAAGTTGCCAGAATTTGCTGCCCAGGCAGAGGGTGAACATTCACATTTGGTAAACGAAGTAAGGATACCGAAGGCATTAGTATCTCAGCCCTGCATTACAACAGATAAGAAATGGTGCACAACAGTGCTCCCCTGAGGCTGTAAGCACAAAGTATTGAATGTGCAATGTGAACCCTACCAGACATGCTGCAGAATCAACACTGACACCAATCACTGGACTCTCGAAAACTAAGATTAATATTCTCATTAAATCCTATAATACAGTGTCTGTATAATGGGAACCTCATTGCCCATTAGTTCCTGTTTACCAGAAAATAATGGTGCTTATCAGAAGAGACCACTTTGCCCTTAACTGGGAGAAGAAATTGTATAAGTAGAGTTTGCCTTATGTTCCATACCCCTCCCTCTCTCCTTCGACTGTACTCACATTTAAGGACACATTATCTTCTTGTTGATGTAAGGGGGTTATGTATGTAGCTACCATTAATGGTAATGAGAATTGCTTCTGTTAATCTGCCATGCGCTGATAGTAAGATAATAGCCTACTTATTAAGAATGAAGGCCAGAACAGGAGCTGCACTGAAAGTGAGCAGCATATTGTCTCTGTGGGAGTCATTTGTAAATGTTAACGGATTGCTCTGAAGTATCTACAGTTGATGATTAAAAAAAAAAGTTAGCAATGGTATATAACGTGCTCTCCCGACATTTAGCTCCAACCATTACAAAGCAGCTCCACATGCTCTTTTCATATCATCTAATATGCCTTCACCTTTAGAGAGTATTGTTGGATAGCAATTAATGGAAATCATCCTCTGCTATCAAGTGAAATGAGCGCTCTATGGTTTCATACTGTTCCCCACAGACCAATGCCTACAAGAGCCTGATCTTACAACCTTACATCATTTAAGCAGTCTCAGGTGCCTAGCCTGAGAGTTCACAGAAACTGCTTGCGAACTAAATGTGTGGAAGAGACTTACAGTGCTGAGCCCCATAGTTTGATACAATTCAGTTTTACAACCAACATCTGCTCAGAGAAGGCCAGCGCTAAAACATCAAGTGTCAGTTTTTCCATTTAGCACTGAACTGAATGAGTAAGTGAATATAGAAGGTAGAAGTTCACAGCTGAGGTTTCGTTCTGTTTGGCTTGCTTTGAAACGGACCCGTTCTTCCCCCCTCAAAGTCTGAGGGTTTAACGTTCTTAAAGGTATATTTTACCAAAAGTAGGCTTTTGAAATAAAAGTCTTGACCCAGAAGGAGTTTAATTAGTTTCAACAGCATGTCTGATTAGCACCTTCTGTTTAAACCCACAGATATAACTTTCATGTGAGACAATTCCACCCCCCCAATATTCTCCAAGAAGTTTTTGCGGTTTTTCCCCCCACGTTTTTATGCATTACGACTCTTACCACAGGCGCCACGTTATCTTTTGGTCCCTCTTCACCCCCACAACCACAGTTCAGTAACGACGAGTTTCTCAGGTTTCCTCAACCCTCGGCTCTCGCCGCTACGCCCGCTCAGAAAACACCCCAGAGACGACGCGCACGAAGCACCACAGCTGCCGGGCCCCTGCCCTGCTCTATACCCCGCTAACTTTAAGCCCCGTCTCTTGATTTTGGGGGGCCTGACTGCTCCCTTCCGCCCTCTGGAAAAGCCCATCCCGGGGTTTCCCCCCCGGCAGCTGCCGGCT